CTGTAAGCTCTCCGAACCTCTAGATGGAGGCTTTCAAGCTCCTTGGTCCACCAAATTCTCTTGCTAGGAGAGTACTTTCTTCGTTTGAGAGGGCATGATGCATGATAAGATTCAATAATGATATTTGTCAGATTGTTTGCTTGAGTATCAAGCTCGACTGTACAATTATTGTCTAAAACCTGAAGGTTAATAACATTAGAAACCAGGGAGTCCTTACAAAGGTCCCAATTTGTGTTTTTAATCTTTCTGAAATATTCAGCTGGAATTTCATCTCTAATACAAAATTGTATAAGGCGATGGTCTGTAAGTGAGGGATTGTCACTTATATGCCAATTCTCAATAAGGTTATAAGTATCAGAAGAAGTTAATGTGAGGTCAATGACTTCTTCTCTTCTTCTGTTGACACAAAGGTGGGGCGATTTTCCCTGTTTACCCAAGTTAGGTTGGTATTCATTATAAATTCCATGAGTTTTTCTCCTCTAGGATTAGTATCAGAACTGCCCCATGATAGGTGATGAGCGTTAACATCATCACCAATAACCATAGGAATATTGTTTATTTCACAGAAACTCACAAGATCTATAAATTCTTGCGGAATGTTAAGGTCATAAGCCATGTAAACCGAGCAAAAACAAATGTTTCCTCTCAGTGAACTGTTTATGTCCTTAGTTAAAATAGCGGTTAAGTCCTCTGATGTAAATTGAGATAATTTCATAGCCTTTATATTTTTCGAAATGTAAATGCTAGTTCTAGGTCTTTTATTAGGTCCCTCTGACGAAAAGAAGTGTGCATTCATGGGCCTACCAAAGATTTTACCCTTGTACACCCAAAGTTCTTGAATTAAGGCTACAAAAGTGCCTTTCTTACCTAATTGAGCAGCTAAATTGTATGAAGCTGCTCTGCTATGTTGCAGGTTTAAGTGACTAACCTTAACCATTAAAACAGGTTAAATGAGAGAAAAGAACTTACCCTGAAGGATTATTAGGAGAAGACTTAGTTAAAAGCTGCACATCCTTAAGCCCACGACTTCAAAGAAAGTAGTGACAGGGGAAAACTATTCTGATGTCTTCCCCAGAGCCTCCAAAGAAAGCTCTGGTTCCTACTCCTTTTCGTTCTCCCCTTCTTCCGTCAACTGTTTCCTCGGAGGATGCTTGGGCGGAGGAATTGATTTCTCCTGTTGTCTTGGTTCCTTCAGCTATACACAGCCACGGGCACCACAAAAAAGTTTGAAATTCTGGGCCTCCAGATAATCCATAAGCTGAGGTTCCACTCCCAGCACCAGAATCCGAAGTCTGAATGAAGTCTGAATCCACCGATGTTATGTCTCTGGAGTCATCCTTGCAGACGACTCGCAGAGTAATTGCCTTTCTTACAGCTTGACTATAAAGCCGTCGTTTCTTGAGGGCCATTTCCGGGGTGTAACCAGCAATGCGTTCTCTCTTACGAGACTGTTCATTGCTTGGATGGCTCTTCCTCTCCAGTTTGGATGTCGCTCCAGAGGTCCCAGCTTTATCTGTTTTCTCCTTCACTCCCTTCTCCCCAGAGATCGAGATCCCTTCCATGGCCCTCTCCAGCCGTTTCCACTCTTTCTGGCGTTGTCTCTTTTCTCTTCTTTTATTTACGACCTTCGTCATTGGTGACTGGTCACCCGCTTGCGCATCTGGCACATTACTTCTGACAGAGGAGTCAGTATCCATCCCCACTGTGTTCAAGGCGTCCGTGTCCGAAGGCTTATTCACCCTTTCACCAGCGGTTCTGGTTTCTGTAGTCCTGAATAGAAGAACATCCGCACCCGAGGGCACATTCACTCCCTTAGAAGGAGCTACAGTGGTTAAAGTAGGGGTTTCAGAAGATGCGTTTTTATATGATTCTATATTGCTAACATCCATTTTGGTATTTGATTAAAAAAAGGGGGAGAAAAATTCCTTCCGATTTTCTAAGAGCCAGTTTGGAGGAGCTACCCCAAGATTCAGCAGCCAGCAGTGACCTCGGAAGAGCCCCCCGCTCTGCCATGCAGGACCGCACCCAGGGCACCACCTGGAACTACAAGGCAGGCGAGATTATACACCAGCTGATAGAGCAGCCAGGACATGCTGGTTAGGCTGCCCCAGGCTCCTGTACTATCTGGCGGCCTGAGACGCAAAACTCAACTTTTCTCCTGTATCCTCTACATGGCTGCTTCCTCCAAGACCCCTCCTCTCCAGATCATAGGTCCTCGGAATTTCAAATCCTCCATACAATCGCCGGTTTTCCCAGGGAGGAGGGGTCCGTTGGGTCGTCATAAGATTATTCGTCATCAGACCGAACCTCATCCCACTAAACCCCGGTATGGCACACGACTTTGTGGCATTTACCCATTTAGCACCACCCAGGGGGCACGTGTGACTTAAGGATAATCACGGACGCGGGTAACGTTACCCCCCGCCGTTTTATGGCAACCCTAAAACTGCTTTGCAAGGAAGCTATCTTACCGCGCCTGGAGATTTCGTAACAATATTGTAGAATTTATTAGAGATAAATTGTAACTGAAGCTCAAACTAAATTTTTTTGTATCTTTTATCATTAGGTAACTTGGCTTTATAAAGAATGAGTTGAAACATAATGGGAAAATATTAAAATTATATTTACACAGTATTCTTTTTTCTAAAAATATTTATTGAAAGCATATTTTCAATGATATAATTAATCTGATTAATTTATTTTCAATGATTCCTACTTTTTATGTAAAAGTTAAATATTTATAACAATGTAAAATTGTGTAAGAATAAAAGTAAAAGTTACTTCTTTCGGCAATTGTATTACCATAATTTTAGGTAGCTATGCTGCGACTTATACATGTTTAAAAGTTGAAAATTTAGGTCTGTGGCTTATCTGTTGGAGCAGTGTATCTGAGGGAATTTTATTTTTCCTCTGTCCTTGAAAATTCACTAGTTCAGATCGTAAGTTATGTAGAAGCAAAATGGTTAAGTTAGAATTTACTGCAATATTTTAACCTCGTATTGCACTAAGGCAGTGCGATAAGTTCAAACTTGCTAAGGTAAATAGTGCTCTGTGTAAATACACTGTAATGCATGTACTTTCTGCTAAACTCCATGGTTTTGCCTGCATTTTCTTATAACTATTTTTTTTCTTTTTAATGAAAACGGTTATGTTTACTTGCCAAGTGTTGTGTTCATTCTTACACTCTTTTACTGCTTTGTAGCTTGCTTTATGTTTACCTTATCACTCGCGCTTTAAAAATGTTATTATTATGGCTCCTACTCGAAGAAAAAGTTATACAGCTGCCTTTAAGCTTCCAGCAGTGAAAAAAAGCGATCAAAAGTGGAAATTTCGCTGCGGCTAAAGAATTTCAAGCTGGCGAGCGATGTATTTGGCGGTGGGAGTCCGAACAAGAAGAATTAGAGAAAATGCCTGAGAATAAAGGATCTCGTCGAACTGGTAGCCTGGCCTGTTTTGGAAGACAATTTAGATAAATGGACAGTAGAGTATAGAGAAAGTGGATTATCAGTATCAACAGTTAGAATTCACGTTCAAGCAAAAGTAATTGCTCAACAAGTGGGCATTAAAAATTTTGTTGGAGATCCTAATTGGTGTTTCAAGTTCATGAAGCGAAAGAAATTATCTGTCAGGACCAAAACAACAGTTGAACGAAAGCCTCCCATGAACTGGCTTAAAAAAACGATAGCAGGGCAAATAATTAATATGGATAAAGTGCCCATTACTTCTGAGTGTCCTCCAAGCTGAACTGTTCATTCAATAGGTGAAATAGGTGAAAAAAACTATTTCAGCGTTAACAACCGGAAGTGAAAAGACTTTTTTTACTTGTGGTTTGGATTGTGCCACCAATGGAGAGAAGTTAACCCCTTCGATAATTTTCAAAATAAAAGCAATTTAAAAAGAAAATGTCCCTAAAAAAAGTTATTTGCATCAATGAAAAAGGATGGATGTTCGAAGAAGTGATGTTCTTTTGGCTAATAGAAATTTATCGGAAAGGAAAGGTGCTTTTTTCCCAACCCCGAGGACTTAACGTTCTGAATTCAAGTACATTCCCATTTAGTGGATATGGTAAGATCTGAAGCAAAAAACTTAGCACTGATGTCTCAGTGATACCAGGTGGGCTGACAAAATTTTTACAGCCACTGAATCTCACTATCAATAGAATTTTCAAGCATGAACTATGAAAGCCATGGGAGGAATGGATGCAAAGCGGACTCCATTCCTTCACAAATTCTGGACGAATGAGAAAAGCTTTGAGGAGGCTGCCTTATGAGTCGATAAAGCATGAGAATCAGTCAGCTTTCATTAAACTGAAAATCATCGAAAAAGAAAATGAAAGTGAAGATAGTGGCATTGAAAGAAGTGATTTAGAACAGAATGATGAAATTGACTTGATTGATGAAATTTGAATTGATGAAACTTGAATTGATGAAATTTGTGGTCATTTGTTAAATTTATTTAATTCTGACATTGATGAGTCAGATTTTGAAGGCTTTGTGTAAATAAATGTAGTTTAATTTAATTAAAAAATTATCTTTGTTTATCTAATTTACATATTCTTTCTCATAATATGATAATTTATGATAATAAACGAAGTTTACCGAACCCTTAAAAATAATATCTGTTAGGAATCATCATAGTTTGTTCTGGCATGTTCAAGGTAAGATTTTCTTCCTTATTTATTTATATATTACTGATTGTATTTATGCTGTAAATGTTATAAAATGTTATTGATGATGATTATATCAATATGGCAGGGAATTACTGACTAAATATTAAGTGCCATGTTTCAGAATGCTTTGCTGCAGCATATGCAGCGGTGTGGCTTGTGGCATATATGCCAGGGTGGCTTATATACTTGAAATTACGGTACTTGAGATTCAGATTTCTTTATATGAAATTGCCTAAACTCATTGCTGCATCAAGATATCTTTTGACTTATTAGAACGACTATATTTTCTATTGCAGCATTATTGTTATTTATTTCTTTAATATTTTCACAGCATCAGCATGTCCAAGAGTCCATTTCACCATCCTGATGCTAGCCCTGAAGAAATACATTTAGTTAATGAAAGACTTAAACTGAGAAGAGCTTTGCGTCAAGAATATTTGAGGAAAGCTACTGATCCTCATTCTACTGATCCACTTATTGTAAGTTTTTATGTAACTGTCATTTTACTTTATATTAATGTTAAAATTTCAGAGGAGGAAAACCGATTTTTAAAATTTAAAAAAACTGAAGAAGTATTAAAGACTTGCTTTGCAGTCTGTCTAATTAGATTTTGCATTCTTGTATCTTTTGCAAGACTTAGTCCTGTACAGTACAAAGTCCGAAATCTGGATGTCCATTATCCGGACCTCAAAGCCACAAACACTTTTTTTTGTATGCTTTACGCATGTGCATTTGATTTTTCCTTCCATAATAAAAACATGTGGAGATTTTCATTTAAAAATTCTGATTCTTAATTTCACTTAGACACTAAAAATACCTCGTTATGGGAAAACCATCATGTAAGCATAAATTTGTGAGATTAATAATTTGGCTTCATAGCTGAGCACCTACTTGGCATACATCTCAAGCCAAAACATTCACTTATTTTATATCCCTGAAGCCAACGTGACGAGTCATTTTTATTATATTTTGCTTTCATCACCATGTTTATCAATACATGGCAGCTTCAGTAACTCATGCAGTGATGTCTAAACTTTTTTTTATATTAGTAATTGAATAAAAAGAGTATGGCAACCTCTTATGCTAACATTATGCTTGGCGATAATTATAGATTTTTAAATGCTCTAAAGAATGTTGACGAGGAAAAATTCAACAAAAATGTCTTTTCATATGCTAAAAAAAGGATTTTATTAATAAAACTTATAGGCCAAAAGATTACATTTAGTGCTATTTATTTTAATTAAGAATAACTGATATGTTATTCACCATAAATCCACAAGCAGCGGCAGAATAAGTCGGCAACGGATGGCAGAATTTAGCGAAGAAAATTTTTTGGAATAAGGGGAAAAAAATGTTTGTGGCTTTGAAGTCCGAATTTTAGATCATTACGGATAATGGACGTCCGGATTTCGGCCTTTGTACAGTAGCATTTTTAAAATCCATGTTAAATTTCTTGAACAATGGCAAGATTATTGAAGAATTTTTGAAATATTTTAGCATAAAATCTGCTGTGTGGAGCATCGCAAGATCGTGGAAGGATGTGTCTCCAGATACGTTAAAAAATGCTTGGCATAATTTACAGTCAGCTACCATATTTCATGGCGAGGACGATGAAGATGATAGCCGTGAATTTGTAGGTTTTTGGATATCGCAAACTGAAGGTGAAATTTTCCAGTTAATGAATAAAGAAATGTAGAGAAGTGGTAATAAATGAAGATGATATAACAGAAGTTTCTCAATGCGATGGCAATCCTCCAATCATCAATCAGTTAACGGATGGCGAAAGTATGGTTCTAGATTCAGAAAATTCCGCTACCAATAGTGAAGAAAGTGACAATAGTGTTCAGTGAGGTTATTGAAAACAAAAAAATTTCGATTGACAAGTTAGTCAGTATTCTCGACACAGCTATTACAGCAGTTGAACAGTGGAACTTTGTAACTGAACAAGAAATTATGTCTGTTTATAGAATTAAAGAGAAAGTATTAGCACAAAAACGAAGCAACTTCAACAGCTTACATTGAAAGAAATGTTTAATAAAGTAAACAAATAAGCATTAAGTTTTCTTTTTGTAAATATTGATACCCTTTAGATCAATTGCTCTTTATTTCATAAATTATGATTTCATATTTTTAATTGTATATTTTGTGCATGCCGTCTTACCACATTTAAATTGATGATCTAATATCCGGAAAAATCCCAAATCCCTAATCGCCGAAGTCTCAATGAGTCCGGATTTCGGACTTTGTACTGTATAAAGATTTGCTTTGCAACCATGAAAAAAAAAAAAAAAGACTGAGTTGATGAACAGTGAATGAGAAGGAAGGATGATGGGGAATTTTGCCCAATCTGATTAACTGAAAGACAGTTTTTACAAATGATTGCTTCCATCCACAAGAAATCATGATCAACAAGGCAGAGTTTTGTGTATTGCTCAAAAAGTTATGATAATAAAGAACATTTAAGTTAAAAAAAAAAAACTCTATATTTTTGGGAGGTCCCAATTGTCATGTAGGACTATGCTTATTTCCACATTTTAAAATTTATCATACAAAAAGTATTTTGCTAAGGTAATATTAAGTACTGAAAAATGCGTGTACATTTCTAGCATCTATTTTTATAAATTTTTGTTTCCAGGTCAGATAGTTCTCTGGAAAAGCTAACTTAAATAAAAATGTAATTTTTTGCTGTAAATAAAAAGTAGCATAAATAATAAATTAAATTCTTGTAACAGTTTTAAGAAATGTTGATTTGAATTTATATAATTGATTTGAGTATGTTTATAAAAAAATCTGCATTAGAAAAAAAGGAAATTATTAAATACTTAAATTTATCTTTTGTTTTTACTCGGCTATTTTATTTATTCACATATATTTGTCTTTGGTAACAACAATAAATTCTTTGCTGTAGCTCATATTTTTATGATAAATTATATTTTCAAGTTTTGCATTAATTGTTAATAATGTACATTAGTAATTATATAAATCCATTGTAACATATTTGTTATTATTTAATTATTTACACTGAATTTTTGTGATTTCTCAGATTAATATGACTAGAAAAGGAATACTATATTCCTAGTTAGAAATAATTGAGTTGGGTAATACCAAACCCAGAGTTGCCACCAACCTGATTTTGATTTACAACATATTTCTCCTGACTTTCTCTTATTCTTAAAATTTCTCATGGTTTTTATGTCACTTGGCTTATACTGTGTTATTTGCATCGAAAAGAGTGATTTTTGGCATCTGAAAGTACATGCGTTTTTCTCTAGATTACACATAAACAAAAACCAAAGTTTTTTTCATCTGTGAGACATTATGGCACTCTTCTGCTTTGCATGTGAGAAACGTCGTGTTCCAGTTCTCGAACAAGCACCAAGCGCTGCTGCGGGCCATCTAGTATAAATTAGCCAATGAGTACAAAGTAAGATTGAGGTTGTTATTTCGTTTGTCACGCTGCTGACTGTTCTGAGTTTCACATGCTTTCAAGAAAATTTTAAGAAGTACAATTCTGCAAAATATATATATATATGTTTGGGTCTCATCCCAATAATTACGCACTATAATAAGTTTGCTGGTTCGTTACTTTATTAATTCTCATAATTAAATTACAATCACTCATTATTAACTCATAGCTGTGACCAGCCCTTGTACACCGTCGATGGAAGTTCTCACACTCGTCTGATCATAACCGTACAGATGCGCATGTGGGGATTACATTCCAGCTGCACAGGCACGAACATGACGCCCCACATTGCAATGCGTAGCATTCAACTACTGTAATTAAGGTATAGCATAAAAAATTTAAACAAGTATATCATAAACAATTTTGAATAAGTACTATTACATAAAATCATTATTATAATTAGACATTTACCATATAACATAAGCGTACAACTCAAAGCAATACAATATAACATTTCAGTTACATAATGACATTTTATGTGAAGCACATTCAATAATGATAAGGACAATACTCATTTTTGTATTGGGAAGACACATAATTTGGTAATTGGTCGTTTGAAAGTTCCAGTTTGAGTTTTTACATTGCACACGCGAACCTTTCCATCTTTACCATAAAATACTTCTATTATACGACCAACTGCCCAATTACCAACAAGGCAAATTATCTTTAATTAAGACCATGTCTCCAACTTGTATATTGTTTTTACAGCTTCATTTAGATCGATTTTGTAAATGACTTAAATAATTGGAGTTCCATTTTTTCCAGATAATTTGTACTAATCTTGTGATCTGTTGCCACAATTTTAATCTGTTAATGTTAACTTCTGTGATATCTGGCTCAGGAATCGAATTATTGCTCTACCAATTAAAAAATGCCCAGGTGTTATAACAATCAATATCCGATGACAAGGGTGTCAATGGTCGGGAATTTAAAATTCCTTCAATCTGAATCATAACTGTTAAAAATTGTTCAAAGGTCAATTTTGCATTACCTACGACATGTTTGAAGTGGCACTTAAAAGATTTAACTCCAGCCTCCCAAAAGGCCTCCAAAATTGGGTGCTCTGGGAGGGAGAAATTTCCATTCGATATTCTCAGAATCTCAAATAACCAGCTAAAAGCTCATCTTGTTTGTTCACTAGTTTATTTAACCTCTTTAATTCTGCATTTGCACCTACAAAATTAGTAGCGTTATCACTAAATAGTGTTAAACTTTTACCTCTTCGTGCAAAGAAACGTTTCAAGGTAGCTATTAATGCTTCAGATGTTAGGTCTGTTATCAGTTCTAAATGAATGGCCTTAGTAACCATACAAATGAATATACACACATAAACTTTCTGATATATACCTTTTCTCTGGTTTTTGTACTTAATTAAGAATGGGCCACAGAGGTCAACTGCAGTACAATTAAATGCAAGATTAGCTGTAATTCTTTCCTTGGTAAATCACCCATGATTTGCTGAGCTACAATGGGATTAGCTTTAAAACATGTTATACAATTTTTTACAATTTTTCTATAAACATTTCAACCATTTACAATCCAAAATTTTTGTCTTATATAATATAACAAAGATAGCGGACCCACATGGCAAATATTTTAAATGATAGTAATTAACTATTAACACTGTTAATTTATGTTTGGAAGGCAGAATAATAGGAAATTTTTTGTCGTAAGTTAAATTGCTACTTGTTAATCCATAAGTTAAATTGCTACTTGTTAATCCACCTCCAACTCTCAACATTACTGTCAATGAAACCATTACTGTCATTACTGTCAATGAAAGGGTGTCAATGAAATGATTAATGTCCATTACTGTCAATGAAAGAGTTAAGATTTTTAATAGAATTATATCTTGGAACAATACCTGATTTTTTAAGATCATTTATCTCATTTATAAAATACTCACCCTGTACTAATTTTATTAAAGCTTCTTCAGCTGCTCTCAATTCTCCCACTTGTAAATTACCTACCTTCCTTTGTTCTTGCTTACAATTCTTGTAAAACCTAAAACAA